TCATCTCTATTCACTCGCTAGGATCCGCCCATTGACACTAGAAAGGCCGAGCGTCGACACTAGCGTAGGAGCTCGTCAGCCCAAATCACCAGATAGAAAAGACTCCTTGACTTTCTCGACAATCTGATGTTCGCGTGGTCGAGTGCTACCTGATTCTCTGAAGGGCAGGCATGATGTGCCGACCCCCATCCGCGCGTCTTTGGTGCTACATTCAAAGTATAATACCAAGCCCGAAGCAACACTGTCGCTCAATTTCTAAAGCTCCAACACCACGATTTCTTTTTAAGGCCCACGGCAAACTGTGGCCATTTCATCACTCCCGCCGTTTACACCATAATAGATATTATGATAATAGTGTCTACGTTTTAACATCATAGGTTAAAGTCTAACATTGTCCCTCGTAAAGCCATGCGCTCTACAGCGCGTTCTGAAGGTGGGGATGGAACGATAATCATCGAGTACCATGGAAAGGAAACCAAGGGCCATCACAGGCGTTAAATTTTTACATGATATCCAATGTCATCATCTCGGGTCACAGTGATGGACAGACTCCAGTTTGCCATTGGAATCCGCTAGGCCCTGTGCCTACCACGTCTCATCCCCAGGGTGTCGGGATGGCCTATGCACTGTGTTGCCCAGTTTGCAATACAAGTGACATATCCCGGTGTGCACTCCCACCATTTTCGTGGCTATATGGAACTATAACTTATGATTGTCAGGTTCAAACTTAGTTGTGGTGTTTGACTGTCCTATGTATCATGTATGCTCCCATCAACTTGTACTTAGGAGCTGCGGGTTACGACTAGTAGCTGCTATAATACCCCGCTGTCCTAGCAGTGGCCCTAAGCGGCGATGTTGTGAGGGTTTCTGGGCATGGTAGTTATGGTGGCATCTTTGACCGGTGAAATTATCTTAGCTGTGTTGGCCTACCTCCCCGCTGGTAGCCCTCTCAATATCACCATACGATTATATATAAGTACATACGAATAGCCCTCCGAAACAGCACACCTCTTAACCCAACCGAGTTTCATCCTCTAGAAGCCCCAATGACCTAGGAATATTACATACGGCTACAAAAAACACTCCAACGCTGCGAATAACTAGGGCTCGTCAAATATACTGCAAGATCTTTTGGCTTATATATGCAAAAACAGAATAGTATTCTCATCAAATCCGATATGGTGTAACGGCTAACATCGCCGCCTTTCATAAAATGAAAGCAAGTTCCGCGGCAGCTCGGGGTTCGATTCCCCGTATCGGAGTTACAAGATTTCTTTTTTTTATTCCCTAGTTTTCTTCTCTGATATTTCTCTTTTTTATTTTAGAACTTCGATTCCCTGCTCAATGCCCGGGACTTTAAGTTTCTGCATAATAACGTCTGCAGCGTAGGAAATTAGAGGAGTACTATGTATCATTACCCTACTGATGTTGATCTTCTCCCTCACAGAGCGCTTACCCGCGATCTACTTTTATTTACACCTTCTTCTGAGATTCATAAGCCGTGTGTCATCACTGTCATTCGTTCATTATTGCTGCTTAGGCAAGCTTGCTACAACTAGCATTGCCATTGCTCGAGATCATACGTAATCGATGGGTATCACTGAGTAATAATATGTCGAGCCATTATTTCGCCTGAACAGTTTCCCTCACTATATTCTTGTCACCATAGTCTGTACCAACAGCAGGTTGTACAGGACCCTGTTCCTCATCTTGGCCGATGGTGGCGTGCTTATCATGCTCGACAGGAGCAAAATACTTAACAACCAACCAGGTCGGGAATACCGCGAGACCTAGATGAGTGTTCGGGTTAGTCTTCCCCGTGTCTCGACCCAAAGAACAAGGTAAGAAAGAAAATGGGAAGAGACACATACCAAGCAGAATAGTATTCACAGCAAGCGGGACTCGCCCGCCGTACCAGTTCCTCGTGTTGATGCCGAATGAAACGGCCTGAGCGAAACTTTCTTGTCCACGGAGGACACCAGAGTACCGGGCTGGATGGTGTTGTTAGTGGTTTGGCTTTCTTGTTGGTCCTGGGGGTACACGTACCTAGTTCGGAGATGTTGTCGGTCATTGAGGAGACGAGGTAGTAGAGCCAGTTCTGGAGGGCTTGTTGGGAGAATTCTAATGTGATATATGGGTTAGCGAGGTGTCTAGGGGGAAGACAAATGATTTCGGAAGGGAATACTGACCCCAGAGAAGGATGACGAAGAGTCCCTCGGTGAAGCCCTTGTCGGACCAGTCGTAGGAGGGTGGATTCGCGGTGTACTTCTCCTGTACTACCCAGGCGTAGGTCCAGGTGGCGATGTGTACGAGGATGACATAGAAGAAGCTGGAGTCCTGGTTAGTATAGCCCCCTGGTGTCGATTGATGCTTCACGGTGGACGGTCATACCTATATGTGACCCGGTTCTTGATCGAGATTCCTCTATAGTCAAGGAACCGACTTATCATTCCAGAAGATAATAGTCTTGCGAAGTTGCCTGGCTGATGTTAGACAGAGCTCGGACTTGAAGCATCAGTTACCCAGACTGTGAAAGACTTACTGACAAAACCGATCAAGGCACGGGCTCTAACACCGAAGTAATACGTCGTAAAGTCTATCCAAGAAACTCTTAGTGTTTCCATGTGTAGATATAGATGACTTGCAAAACCATACTTCCACTGTATTGGTTAAAGTACGCTGCCCAGAAGATCGGCAACAGCAGAAGAACCTGAAATGGCGTTAGCCAAACCATCGACGAAAGTGAGAATAGTGACTGACTTCTTTCCGACAAGAGAGCTTCCAAAGCTCCCGCATCTCAGCGCGCCATGAGTCCTGCAGAACAATCCTCACTTTACTCCCATCACTGCGCTGGACCTTCTCAGGTGGCGAGAGAAATATCGCCAGGGGAACGGCAAGGCACTGTAGCGCGACGAAGATGAGATAGGTCTCTGTATAAGCGATTAGCAATCATCCTCGCAGGGGAAATGTAGGTTCCGCTAGGCTTACGCGAGTCAACCTTTCCTTTGCTCTTTGCTTCAGCAGAGCTGTAACTGAGTGAGCAGAACATCTCAACATATGCTTATCTTCCAAGAGACGTACTGGTTGAGCCCGAGGACAATTGCGCCGCCCAGCAAAGGTCCACCGGTACGAAACCAAAGCCAGATACTGTTCACTGTCAATGATATTTTCCATTGAGCCAAATTGCCACATCTATATCTACTCACTTCATATATCTGCCCCGTTTTGTTGGCTCCGGATATCCTAGTGCCACAGCACCCTCAGAAGCCCAGAAAAGACCCGCTCTGGTTGTTGTGTGAGAAAGTGGACAGCTGTCGACCGGATATCTCTTACTTACGACAAACCACATGCTACCGATCCAAGAAGCACAAACCACACATTGCCCTACACCTGTAATTAGCGTTCCGCCACGAACACACGGGGTCCGGCACGTACATAGCGGTTATTCGTATACAATGCGGCACTATACCATCTCTCATTAGTTTAAAACCAATAACTCTCAGACAGAAACGTATGAGAATATACATACGAATAAATCGGGTACCCAACCGCACCCAAAAGCAGAGTCCAATTCAACCCAATGCGGTTCGCAATCGGACCGCCGAAGAGACACAAAAAACCCACTATAGGAACGCGCAGAGATCAGCACCGCAAGCCAATACAACAGCCGATCACAAATCATCAACAGGTCAGCCTACTAAGACCAAAAACCAACGCATTGGCAGCATTAATCAAAAATGGTGACTGCGCGCCACCAGCACCCAAGGAATTCATGGCATTCCACAAGCCGGGCGCCATAAAGCCCACTCCGCCAATAACAAAGGCATTGAAGAGCGTTGAGTGATACCATGTTCGCTTCTCCTTGTTCTCTACCGCTATGTCGGTGGGAGAAACTGAACGCGATGATGGTTGTTCGGCCATGGCGTTGTGTAGTCTCGGTAAAAGCCCGTCGCACTGAAGAGAAGCGTCCGAACCAGAAGCACGTTTGGCACCATGATGGATATAGCATGCTTTATGCTTCCCCCGTCTTCATTCAAATTTCTCGTTACGGAAATCCTCATATTGAAAGAAAATTGCGTGCTATTGTGAATATCTCGATAGCGTGCCATTTCCATGCTACTATGACACTTGGTGTCCAGACCCAAGACTGCAACGTACGGTCGAGGGGCCAATCAATGACTGGTTGTGGAGAAGAGCTTTGATGTAAATCGGCTTGAGCCGCCCCTGAGAAGAATTTAATATTGTTGCTCATGCAAGTCATGCAGAGTCGCAGACCCATGCAGCCTTGAAGGATGGTGTCTGTTTCTACAACATCAACGTGATCGGGCCGATCCTCCTTTTGAATACGACCCAAACGCATGCCATTGACTCATGAAAATACTCGAGATGATACAGTATCTACGGGAACTCGACCGGCCTTTCTCCATAACTTGTACTGATGTCGCTCAGCATTGAAAACTAATAAAACGAACGCTTGTACATACATGGCCAGATGATGTACACCGAAAGAATGCAACATGGAATCGCTCTGGGCCCAAGATGATCGACTCAGTCCGATCAAAAGGAACCTGTTGAAGTAACAGGGGCAGCCAGATCACGAAATCCACTACACAACGTAGGTTTGATTTCCCGTTTTCATCAGCGCATTGGGCAGTGGTAAGGAGTGGACAAGAACCTAAACAGAGGTCGGAGAATGAAGAGATTGGAGAAAGAAAGGAAAAAGGTAATATAAAAAAAACACATCATCATCCAAGGCTGATGCTGGGACAGGCCGCTTATGTGTCTAAACACATAGGAAAAGCAACATTAGAGACAATTTCGACTATCACATGAGAGTATCCATTTTGAACAGGAGAGAAGCTCTGGCCCGCTGTCCAAGTACAACAAAAGAGTAAAGTAGGGTGTTGAGGAAAAGACAAGAAAAAAAAAAAGGCGCAAAAAGTAATCATCCAAGTGTGCACATCCGTTACGTCTCAGTCACATTATGTACGATGTTCGCGTTACATGATCGGGGTCTTGCGCTTTTCGGCGCTAGATAGCACAAGCATCGGGGTCTTGCGCCTTTCTGGACCCTGCACTGCTGTCTTCTGGCCAGCGACGACAGCAGCCACCGAAGGTGTTCCCGCAGGCGAAGAAACCGGATCCGTGCGAACATCTGCCAATTTTCCGCCGAAGAAGCCACCATCCTCGCTGATCGGAGTGGTCGTGTACGGACTATCTTGCGACCGCCGTTCCCGAGAAGACCTCTCCTTCCTCTCGGATCCAATGGCGCCATTGGCCGCGGCACGAAGGCTTCCCAAGCTGGGTTTGCTCGAAAGACTGCCACTGCGAACGGTAGCATCATCACCGTCGGAGAATGTGAATTCCTTCTCACTCGCCGGCGTGTTGGTGCCACCGGTACTATGGCATCCGAAGCTGCGGCTATCCCCGCGTCGTTCGAGGCCTGCACGCACAAGGTTGTGGACGGCACGACGGCGCTGACGGGTGGCGAAGTTCTTGCTTCCTTCATGGTTTGATGTAGGCTTAGCGACAAGTTCCTCCAACGAGGGCGGACCCCTGGGTTGCCGGATTGGGTGCTCTCCGGCGCGATTCTGGCCAGGCCCAAAAGTTCCAGTTGCCGGTGTCTGAGAAATGGCAGCGGTTTTGGGAGCGGCAGGGGTTATGTTTGAGTTTGCCTTGGCCGTGTCAATGGAGAATCTAGCAGGGTTAAACGACGAGCTTTTCTTGTGACCTCTGCGGAATGCATTGATGGAGGGAGGAGGCAAAGGAGCAGTTTCCTGTGGAGGTGAAGGGCTGGCACTTGGAGGAGAGGCCGGCTGCGATAATTGTTTCGTCTCCGGGGGAGGAGAAACTTCAGCTCGGAACGCTGGCACCTGCATGGCAGGAGATTGCGTCTCCTCTTCCTGGTAAGGCGAAGAACTTTCTTGCTGGCAGGAGTTGTCGTAAATGTAATTCTGTTGACCAGTGAGGGGGTTGTAGACGGAGAACAGCCCTGGTTGACCCGGCACAGGCTGCACAACTGGCTGTACGCCTTGCTGGAGCTGTTGCTGATAGAAGCCCATCCCCGGAACGGCGAGAGAAGGATATTCCTGCTGCTGGTTCATTGGCATTCCCAGGCTGAGACCCTGGAACTGCTGGGCCGCTGCGGTGACGCTAATCAGTTGTTGCTGTAGGCGCTGTTGTTGGGCCGCCAAGAAAAGATTTGTGGACATCAATTCCGCGTACAGACTCTCGTCGATTGGCATATCGCCGGCGATGTCAATAGCCGGAGGTGCGAGCACCTGCTCCGGCAGAGTGTACACGGGGCGACCGGTGTTCATGTCCAGGCCCTGATTAAGGGCCATTGAGTGTCGAGGGAAGCCAGTTCCCATGGCAGTTTGTGGAACACGATCAGCGGTGCGGTTTGAAAGATTCCCATATCGATCACCCTCCACGCCCAGATGCTGTTGGCGGGCGGAAGCCGAGGGGACGGTAGCGGATTTTGGAGCCGTCCTTAAGCCTGCCAGAAGATGCGAACGGCTGGTGCGCGGAGTGGGAATGGGGGCCGATGGCTGCGATTCATCGATGGTGGAAATGTGTGGAGGTGGCACACTCAAACGCTTCACATTAGGGCCCTTTCTCCGAGACCCGAAACCGGAACTCGGGGCCCCAAGCGAGCTTCCGTTATTGAAAGACGGGTTGTAAGTCATCTGAGCAAGACCGCCAGTGTCCATACTCATAACTAGTATAAAGGAAGAAAGTTTCGAGGATAATATGTGCAACGGGTAAGAATCAAAGAGCCGTAGTGAACCGAAGGCACTATGTAGTCGACCAAACGGAAAGCTTGCGTATTAAGGTATTACAAGGAGGCGATGGTAAGAATGAAACACTCGGGGATCGTTCTGACACCAGAAATCGTGTCTATTATGCGAAGAGTTGAGACTGCGGTCGCGAGTCCTAAACTCGGCCGGTGTCAGCAAGATCGTGAAGGCGACCGACATAGGATCGACATACCTGAGAAAATATGCGATGAGAATGAATAGAGTTGCAAAAAGAGAGCTGGGAAAGACAAAGAATGATTAATAGCCAGGTGTACAGGGAACGATCGATCTGGGGTCAGGGTAGAGTTGCAGCTGCCAAAAGGAGATCTGATGGTGGAAGTGATGGACGACAGACGCGACCGGACGTCAGGAACCGAGGCAAGAAAGTCGAGAGAGACAAGGAAAATGAAGGTCTCTGTAATTAAAGACGATGATAAAAATGGGTGGGAGATGCTCTGCAGCTCCCGACCGAAAGGATGCTTGAACACGAAAGATGGGAAAGGAGGAGAGACTCGAAGATTGACCGTTGAAGAGAACAAACAACGGAAAACAAGAACAGAGCCGCTCAAGTGATGAAGTAAGGGATCGTCGAATGGACTTTTATTTATTCTCTCTCTCTTTCTTGCTCTGACTTTCTTTTTTATTTCTATTTTTCTTTGGCGTTTTTTGCCTTTTTTTTCTGTTTCCTCCAAAGTATCCCGTGAATCGTAGAGAGGGAAAGAAGAGAGAAGAGAAGAGAGTCGGCGATGATAGGATAGTGTATTGATGAATTGGTCCGTTCGGCTGTTGGCGCGCGTTGGGTCGCCTTTTTCTTTCTTTTTTTCTTCTTCTTCGCGCTTTTCCCTTCGTCTACCCGCTTTGGCCGTCAATAGTCAAGCCGAAAGGGCACCAAACAAGTTCCAATTCACTTTCTGTGGATTAAATAAAACTTTTCCGGATTGACAAGCGAACAATCCCGCTACGAAATGAAAAGGACTGCAGGTGGAAAGTAAGACAATGAGGATAAGAGAAATTAGGTTGGTTGAAACAACACAAAAAGGGGGAAGAGAAGAAGTGAAATATGGGACTGGAGAGGATGGAAGAAAGCCAGTTGAGAGAAGGAACAGGAGGGGGAGGAAAAGAAAGAGTGGGTGAGAAGGAAGAAGAAAAGAAGCGAGAGATACAGAGAGAGAGAGGAACCTATCCTCCTATTGTTTTTTGCTACTAATACTTTCTAATACTGTAAGACGCAGAAGAATTAAGGTGCTAATAATACAAGACCTGTAAAATCAGCATCATGATCGTAGGCGCTGAGACACTGACTGGTTGGCCACTTCAGACACTTACATTCTGACTGGTTCGCTTGAAGAACGACTAGTCCTGAACAGGGTTAGCCATGGGGAAGTGGTGATTCTCAGAGTGGATGATTTCTTGATAGCCATTGTTGGGTGATCTCATTTGCGGTTAGCCGTTCTGAGGTGGTGCCTGAAATAGTAGCCAATAAATCGGGGGAAATTGTGATGGTCCTCAGGTTCTCCATCCAGCCCCATGGAGGCTTTCTTTATTTAGAGGCCGGGACCTTAATGAGTGTGAGATATACCGTAGCCTTACTACTTTGAGGTAGTATTGAATTGTAATGCAAAGTATGGAACGGTAGATACTAGTCGGTTAGTGAGGTAGATCAAAACTGATCAAAGATTCACCAAGAACATCTCAGACCTACCCAAGTTCCCTAGTACAGTCCCTGGTTTAATTAATCCCATTGCCCGTCAATCCACCAACTTTAGTACTAAGTACTAGTAGTGGTTTATCATGGAACACAGACAGCGCATCAGCCGCTATGACCAGCCAATCCGCCCCCAGAATCGCCTCTGCAGCCTGACAGTGACGCCAATATGCACCCCATGCCCCAACCCCCATTGGTTCGTCCTCGAGCTCATCACCCACTCATCCCTGGGATCATCCCCGCTTAGTGCCATCCAACGTGGCCTCCCTCGCCGCCAGCCAACCGCTTCCATCGCAGACTGATTCCCCTCTTCTCCTTTCCCCTGACTGGCCTGATTTCCCTCCCTACCACCAGTTCGGTTCGGTATTATGCTATGGACCAATGTGTAGATCGAACCAATTGGTTTGGGAGAATGGGATGGAGGTAGCTCGAGTGTATCTGTGCTCATGCACCTAGGCCTGCATGGAAGAAATGCCATGCTCATCCGCATGTCTTTGACCTATGTATTTGGATACCGAGCTGTTGATGGTTAATTTGGTTCCAGTCACCAGACAATTCTAGAAGTGGGGTTGTGCTAGCCCAATGCATGTCCCATACTCCACTATCGCTTGCACATAATGATACCATAACATTGGGTTTTTATGTATGTTTGTATGTACACCATCTATTCATGCTGTAATCCCTCAACGCCAGCTAGATTCTTCCTGTATTGTTTTTGATCTGTCACCCTGCCATGTCAGAACAATAAGTACACTGATAGTCCCGACAAACCCAAGAAACACATCGGATGCCTCGAAAGAAAAGAACAATTGGGTATCTGCTGGTAGGACAATATTCTTCAGTCCCCACCAGAAGCTAATTATGTTAAAAACCAGAACGGAAGAAAGAAACAAAATCGTAAGGAACGGCATGTCCATGTAGGTAAAAATAACACATTGCAGAGAGATGAGAGAAACGTGATTCTCTGCGGAATTAGAAATTGCGTCAAACATCATATCCAGCCCTTGGTAGATACAGTAATACAGAAACCGATACGCTCACAACCAAATCGCGATGAGTGCGGAGCATCAGAAATCATCCTGTACGTTCTAGGCATCAACAGACACTGGAGGCCCAGCTAGAGGAAAAGTCGCTGACCCCTGGGGCTCTGGCTCAGGGGATTCGCCCCCTGCACCTTTTCCGTTCATTCGGTCAAATTCCAAGGTCTCTACCAGTTCAGCGGCCATGGGGTCTAGTTCCTCTTCTTTCAGCCCTGTAGCGAGTGACACGAGCTTCCGATGAACGTCAAACTTAGTGCTAACACCCGCATCTGCCGTTTGTTGGGCGAGATCTTTGACGGCGGCACGCCGTGCTTTTTGTGCCAAACACAGCCGTCGAGCTAACTGATAGACGGTAAGCAACTTGTTCTGGTCAGTTGAGGGTGGGTTTGGGTCCTCGTTAGTGGGTAGCGTTGACGATGCGACCTGCTCCTTTAAGCGGGCTTGTTGAATCTGTTCCAGCAGCGATTCGTAGCGACCCCTCAACTGTTCGTAACGCTCGAATTGTGCATCGATGTGCTCTTCTTTGGTTTCCTTCGCTGCCAAGTCGGCTGTTAGTTGTTGAATCTTCTGCCGATCCAACTCTAGCTGTTCGTATAGTGCCTCTGGATTGGCAACATCGTCTGGATCCGGCTGATTGGCCTTTGAGCTCCCGTACCCAACTGCAAGTTTCTTGTTCGCTTCGGCCATGATTACCCCAATCTTGGCGAGGAGTGCAGAAGTGGAGGGGGAGGAATCCTGCGGTGGCGCAACGGATTGGTGATCGGCGTTCGTCGGGCCAGCAACTTCCCCATCAATGTGGTCATTACCCATCGTGATAGAGGAAGGCGGCGGCGGGATATGTCGGTCTGACTGATTCGCTCGCTGAGTGATACTGGCAGCCGTCTCGCCCTTCTTATTCACTAAGTCTCCAGCCCGCGAGCAGTGCGTGAGGAACAAGTGAACCAAGCGAAATGCACCATTTCGAGCAGCCACCAAAGCAGCTGTGTCTCCATTGGAGTCTTGGCAAGATAACAAAACATCGATTTCCTCTGGCGTACAAGTAACGCGTAATTTGTCGAGCAGCACTTCACAATAGTACCGAGAGCTCTTCCATTTCCCTTTGCTTCTAGTGGTTTCTGCTATGTGATGGAATATGGTAGCGCCGAACCAGTCTCGGAACGACACTGTGTCCAGGAGTAAATCCAGGAGCGGCGGAAATGTCCTCTTTTCATAATTGTTTGTAAACAGAACAGCACGCACAAGTGGCGTTTCTTCATGTACTGAGAGTGTCTTCACATCTGCTCCCCTCCGCAGCAGATCTTTCACTATCTCCAGATCACCCATCGCACAAGCCCAATGGAGAGCAGTGTTCCCTGAATCATCTATTGAACGGTCCACTTGAAAGTTGGCTGGCGGTTCTGGTGGAGGAATTCGCGTTGCTTCTGGAGCATCTCCTACTGTCATGAAGTAGTCCAAGAGCTGGTCGCCGTACAGTATATGTTCCTGTTCGCTTATTGACATCGCGGTTACCTCATTCATGCCACGTTTGCGCTTTCGCGAATAGTTGCCATTCTGGGTGATATGCATCATCTCCTCATCTGCGACCATGGAGGAAGATTCGAGGGTTGCTTGTTCAATCGATTCGTCTTCATCGAACCCAGGATTCATCTCATATTGCTCATGAGTGAAACTGGGTGGCCCCATGCTGCGATGCGGCTTAGCCGCACTGAAAACTTCCTCATGTACAGCCCTCCTGTTAGCGGCCGCATTTTTCTGGGCTCTTGGTTTTGACGCGGCTGATGTATGTTTCGGAGCAGGCGGTGGACTGCGATCCCCAGCCACGTAGTCGAAAATTGGCCTTAGCTTATCGATGATATTATTGCGTTCAGCGAGCATCCGGCCTTCAGGAAGTGGAATCCATGTCCCTATTTTGAGCTTTAGCACGGCGACCATCATGAGCGTTGTATCAAGATGGACTTTCACTACCTTGATATTTACCATAACCACCCTGTACTTTTTCGTGAACCCCTTTCTGCACCTCACGTTCGAGAATACGTGTTCGCGCTGGCTTATCAAACCCTGCGACTTTGAGTATATGTGTAGCATTGATCCAATCATCAGCCCGTCTTCGCATAACACTTTCGGTATCGAGTTTGAACTCGTAGACCGGAACCTGACCAGAGATATCAGACACATCATCAAAGCGGTGAAGGGTTTCCACAAAAGTGAATTGATAGAAAGAGCGAAGGCACAAATAGAAGGAAACTCACACTGCTATACGTCGCAGAGTAAATTTTTGAGAAGTCCACCCCCGCCATGATGTGCGTCTCCGAAAGCCGGTTGATCTAGGTGGTCCCCGGGCAATTGAAGGAAGATGCGACGCGGTCACTTTTCGCAGGTAATTCAATGGTCCGAATTCACCTTTTCTCAGGCGTAAAGTATAATACACAAGCTTTGGGTTCGAAACATCACATATAGCGTATATTGAAGTCACAAAGATACCGTATCAGCCACTGGTGGCTCGTCCTGCGCACAGTAACATCCCAAAAACGCGGTGGATTGCTCAACAAGACGCGCCCCGGTCGGCAGAACCGCGTAAAGTGGTATCTGGACTACTATTCCCATTGCGGTATAGAATACACGTGACATCACGTGACTATATCCGGAAGGAACAGCACTTCCGGATAGCTGCAAACCTCACTGCTCCGCCGCCTATCTTCAGAAGGACCCTATTCTACGCCGCTTTCTCATACCAAAATGACCGTTGCCGAGTCGGTTAAGAGCGCCGTTGGACTGGCGGATACTCCCGGTACGTTTCCAATGCCATTGGCCTCCGCGCTCAAGAGCAAGATCATTATAATCTCATTGACTGAGCCGAGCATTGACGTTTCATTTTAGCCACCCGCCAGGAGATGTCCGATGCTCGTCTGCCTATTCAGTACCGCGACTCTTGTGGACACCTCCTCATCCCATTGAACCGATGCCGGCAGCAGGAGTACTACCTTCCTTGGAAGTGCGAGGTATGTCATTGCATTCCGTTTCCGCATAACGCCCCTACGTACATCTCCATGGTTTAAGATTCGACCTATATAGCTAATATCCAATTTGCACTCTAGGATGAGAGACACAGCTACGAGAAGTGTCAGTATGAAGAATTCAAGAAGCGTGTTGCCAAGATGGACGAGCTGCGAGCTGCTAAGAACAGTGCCCGGAGCAATTGATACCAAACACATCGGCTTATGCATTTGATATGGACGAAGCAGCAGGTTATGTACATAAAGTTCTGAGATTGATTGATCATGCACCGACTTTGGCGTTTGGATTGAGAATAAGCTTGCCGATACCATCCCTTTGTGTCTCGGACTCATAAGGCTAGCATCTGTAATTCATGAAACGGTCATCTCTCGGTGTGATACGGACCCAGTGCTTCCGCCCTCCGAAAGATGTCTATGCATGGGATAGCTTCAGGATTGCGCAAGCGAAGTATTTGGATTTGCCCAGCCTTACCCAACCTGGGTCGTCTTACTGCCTAGGTAGTAATCGCTGCTGGTTGAATCATTCCAATCTTCATATCCTTCCTTCCCGGGGGAACCATTCTTACAATCGTCGGCTACTAGCCGTACATGGCGGTGATATTTGAGGTACGGATTATGAGTAAAAGTAATTCGTCAGCAGGGATATTCAGCCAAACACCAAGGAACCAAGCAATCTACTTGAAAATAGGTAGGTAGCCTTAAACTCCATATGCGAACTAGATGGCGTTACGTCTTGCCTCGACGATCAGCTTGATGTGAGATATGTTTTATAGCGTCGGTTGCCTTGAGAAAGTTTATGAAAACTGGCTTGCCTTGCACCTATGTTTATAGAGAATGTTGGTGATCTATTTGATAGAATCACATGACCCTCCAGTTAAGGAAGCTGCTTAGAAATCAATGCATCGGCTTCTCGTGAATTCCGCAGCGTTAACGGCGTTATCAGCGATAATGGCACTCAATGCCCCGCTTGGGGACCAAAAGATGCCCCCCCACTATTGGCAAAAGTTCATTGCTTTACCCAATCACCGATAACAATCACCGTCTCCGAGACGCCGCCGGGAAAATCAGCATAAAGGCGACAATACCAATCCGACTATGACTTTTTCCCCTTTCCTTCCATCGTCTGTCTCTACGGTTTTTCATGCTGTACGTATAATACTCTAAGGTGTCAGCTCTACCTGGCATTGTATAATTTCATTCGGCCGGTTGCTTCCAACATTCGGACTCTGGCGCATCGTCTGCCACCAGAACTTCCCCTCACCTCCGCGGGGCTTGCAGATCGTGTGATCCAGAATTTTGTCTTATTACGGAAGACTCTCTTATAATTGAATTCTTGCACACTGGTTCCTCGGAAGTGGTTATGACATTATGGGTTTGCTGTACGTCGAGACTCCTACCAGACATTATTGTGCGGCTTGTCCCGAGCTAACATCCAATGTCCTTTTAGAGCACTAGGAACTGCTCTCGATTGGCCCGAGGCGAAGAAGCGAGCGGATCAGGTGCGAAAATGGGGTATCGAGGTACGTCACTGCCTTCTGTTTCTGCTATCTAGCGATCCATGAATGGGTGTTCACCTAACGCGCATTAGCAATTGCTCGCCAATTGGCGCCGAGCGAAAGGGAAAGAGCGCGATGCTCTTCTTTGGGGCGATGAGGTGAGATTCCAACGTCAACAAGACTATAAAGCCCAGGACTAACTAATCCGCCCATACTCAGGTCGAGTACCTTGTTGTCGCCGTTGACAACGAGGCGAAAAAGGCACGATTATCTCTTGCTCAGGCCGAGATTCTCAAGTCCCTGGCTGAGGATGAAGCCAATTGGAAATCTGGAGGGTCAAACAGTATACAGAACAAGGAACAGTAAGGCAAACAGGCTTGCTATATCAACTCCGAGGAACCTTTCTGATGACGCCTAGTGATGGAGAAGATCCCCCTCATTTTCATCCGGAATTCGGTCGCTTTATGCTGGAGGCTACTCCGGGGCGGCATGGGGGATTGATTTCAAGGATCTATTGAAGGTAGAGTCAAACATGAAGTGGAGGTACGTTTTATCCGTCCGAAAGTTTCTAGCTGAGCCTAATATGGTCCCTTAGACGAGAGGTTGCCAAATCTCACATGGCATCAAATGAATATCCTATTACTCTTACCACATTCCCCCGCTTGGGCACGAAAGACGACTACATTCAGCCATACTATCCTCCATCTGGAGCCGCACTCCGATCTCAGTTCGTTCCTGATGAGATCGCAAATCCCCACATTAGGTTTCCAACGCTGGCCGGTAATATCAGATCCAGACGGGGTCGAAAGGTCGAGCTGAATGTGCCGGTCTTCAAAGATACAAATACCCCTGAACCTTTCAATGATCCAACGGTGAACTATGACCTCCACAATTGGCCTGAAGACGATGATGTCAGAAATGGAGCGGCTAAGGAAGGGCATGTTTATATGGACGCCATGGCGTTTGGCATGGGCAGTTGTTGTCTTCAGATTACCTTCCAGGCAAAGAATATGACGGAAGGGAGAAAGTTATACGACCAACTGAGTCCGCTGGGACCCATCCTTCTTGCACTTACGGCTGCAACCCCCATATACAAGGGTTTCCTTGTCGACACTGACGTTCGGTGGAACCAGATCGGTAATGCTGTAGATGACAGGACCCGTGAAGAACTTGGTGAAGCTGTGAGTTATTACTCTATTGATTGCCGGTCCAGAGCTAACATACTAAATAGCCCTTGAAGAATGATCGGTGGAGAATTCACAAATCTAGATACGCATCAAACTCGACTTATCTTTCTCAGGACCCTAGGCTGCGGAAGGAGTACTTGGATCCTGATTTGATCGTGGACGAAGATATCAAGAAGCGGTTGGTTGAAGGTGGTATGGATGAACTTTTGGCCACACATTTCGCGCATCTTTTCATACGCGACCCACTGGTCATCTTTTCAGAAGACCTAGAAGAATTGGACCTAAACAAGGCAGACCATTTCGAGAACCTGCAATCGACAAATTGGCAACACATGCGCTTCAAACCACCGCCGCCGGAAAAAGACGACATTGGCTGGCGAGTTGAGTTCCGCTCAATGGAAATTCAAATGACCGACTTCGAAAATGCGGCATTCAGCATATTTATTGTGCTTGTCACCCGCGCGATTCTGAGTTTTGACTTGAACTTCTATATCCCTATCCAACGCACGACCGAAAATATGGAAACGGCGCATGCGCGAAATGCAGTTTTGGATCGAAAATTCTACTTCCGCAAGGATCCGTTCTCTCCTCGTGCACGCAGACCGCACCCACAGTCTTCTACTAATAGTGAAGTGTCGTCTGCCACGTCATCCGCCGTTAATACGCCACCCCCGTCACCTCCACTTAAACCAGTAGAGTCGGAATATGAGCTCATGACTATCTCAGATATCATCAACGGTTCTGCTGACGGATCGTTCCCCGGATTAATCCCGCTTGTCGAATCGTACTTGAACAGTGTCAATGTGGACGTTGAAACGCGCTGCTTTCTGGCAACCTATCTCGATCTCATTCGGAAACGGGCAAACGGAACCCTCTGGACAGGAGCGCGGTGGATCCGCGAGTATGTTGCTTCACACCCTGCGTATAAACATGATAGTGTCGTCTCTGAAGAGATTTGCTACGACCTCGTGAAGGCAGTTGAGGAAATGTCTGTAAAAGAAGGAAAGAACGGGAGTGTTGGATGGGAGCTTCTTAGAGGCAAGAAGTAAGGTGGCGAAAAGTTCGGCTCTCTATAGACATGGAATTTTCATTCGGGTAGTAGATAGGATTGTTTCCCCTGATATCCTCTTCATGGTTAAGAGTTCATTTTGTTTACCGTGTGCACATTGCATATAGCCCTATTATTATTTTTGCACCTTGCTTCTCACAACCCTCATCCGAGGCTCCAATGCATGTTTACAGGCAGAATTGGACAACAAGTCTATTGCTTATAGCAACGAATATTTCTCTTCTTCGGTTGGCCATCAACATGAATCAGCTAACCCAGTTACTTTCCATTCTCCGTTGAGTTTGTGAAGCACGAAAAGCTCGATGCCCACATGGTTCACAATGCCATTCATTTTCGATCTGAACGGCGCCCACACCGCGGCCAGATTACCTGATTCGTATAGTTTTACCTCAGGATCCCAAATCCGCTCGTCGATGTCGTCCTGCACGTTCACAATCTGCTCCACAAAGACTCCAATTGTACAGAAACGGGGTACCATGGGCGGCGGTGGCCAAAGTGACATGCCTCCTGCTCGGATGCAGTATTTCTCGAACTCGGCTGCCGACTTCGCATTCAATGCCGCAAGGAAGCCGTGCGTGACAGCGATGATGGCTTTTTACTCAGGTGATGGTGATGGGGAGATTGGCGTCATGGGAAGAGGCTCAGGTGATAACAATGCCCACCACATTCTGCAGATACGGCTAAATAACGAATATATGACACGAGGGTAAATACACGATGATATTATCCTCTTGCTGTCTTGGCTCTCGATGCTTTGGAAAACCAATAATCGCATAGTGGATCTGCGATTCTCAGTACAATGGCGCTGAGGCGATCCACGGGCAAATTTCCGGTGCAATGAAAGGAGTTTAGATCACTGAAGGCAGTTATACTTGAGCCTTCTTGCACTTATACTGTGCTAAAAAAGAATGGGGTAGTGGAGATAGACACCTTGTTCAAAGATACCGAGTGCCACCCCTATGTGAAGAACCAGATTTTCAGGAAAGTCCTTAAGCCAGACCGTCCAGCGGTACTACAATGCTCAGACTAGTACGACTCTGCTTCACCGGGACAGCTCTCACAGCCGACGCATGTCAGGGCGACATGAGGGTTCCGTGTAGATCCAAGAAGGCTAGCTAGCCGGTTGTGCCACAGAAATGCCCAGAAAATGAGGATCTATAACAGAAGTCAGACATGATGCTCAAGGAGATCTCTATCTTTGAACTCTTTGTAGAATGGACAGCTCCAGCTATTGAATCCTGTACGACAAAGCAATACTGGTCAGGGGTTCCCCATGTGACACACTATCTCATTAAACATACGCCATCTTGTACGGGCGTAGAACGTGGCTAGATGGTGCATTACTTATACCTTCCAGGATATGAACCATCTCAGTAAGGTATATCAATGAATGTGCTGGAAGACGCTGCTTCAGGAAAGCTATCAAGATTGTGTGCTAACCCTAAGGAGGTGTCATCCACGTGCAGGGAACCCTTCTACTTACACTCCAGTCAGTTTAGTTCAATCCCACACACAGCTTGTAACATGTCATCGTCTCTACAGCCTATTCAAGTGAACCCCACATAGTCAAGCACGCAATTAATCAAGCCAGCCACCTTACAGAAAGCAAAGGAAGACGGGCAATTAGCTCCCTAGTCTATCAAGTCACATCCAACAAGAAGAGACCTCTGGGATGACCGGCAAATCTTCGGGACATTCATCAATCAAACTTCAACCGTGTGCACTATGAACAATCCCACCCCAGAAGCCCCACGAGTCGTCCCTCCACAACCAACTCGGGGGCCGACAATCTTCTCTACAAGGGGAAATTCTTTTTAACCGGTTGTCCATTCATTGAATGCCAAAATTCACCCCCGCAATTCCATAACCCCGAATACTCCGGATCCCACTACGACATGAACTCCACCCCCACAATATGCCATTGTACGATGAAGTCGGACCCCGACCCTTTGTTCCTCGTCGCTCAAGTCCCGAATCAAGTCCCGAGAGCATAGGGGAAGCTCCATATGGGGCTGTATACCCCGCAGCTGATGGTCTTCCATATATAAAGAGCGCAAGGTGGGTGTTGCAGGATGCGCGAGTTGGCACGGTCGTGTAGATTCTTTTTTATTTGAGGGCACACAAGATGATCACGACAATTCTCTGCCTCTCTGCGCTGTGGGTCGCTGGCAATGCTGCTCCAAGCAGTATACCAGGCCCAGCAGCTCATGTCCGCAATGGGACATATGTCGGGGTAAAGAACGACCACTACCAGCAGGACTTTTTCCTGGGTATGCCATATGCGCAGCAGCCAATCGGTGACCTACGGTTTATGGTACCTCAATCATTGAATGAAAGCTGGGATGGAGTACACGATGCGAAAGAGTACTCTAAAATCTGTGTGGGATATGGTGTAAGTGATGATTTGACTCGATATGCCTGCTCCCAGCCTCAAGGTTGGCAAGTTAACAAGGGATCTAGACGGATTCGATCTGGTATCCGATGTCTGAATCTTGTCTTACCTTGAATGTGATCCGAGGGTCATCCGCGAGTGCGGGCTCCGATCTTCCCGTGGGTGTTTGGATCCACGGCGGTGGATTCTATATGGGTTCAGGGTCAGATGAACGGTATAACATGTCTGCTATTGTGGAAAACTCGTATAAGATTGGTAAGTCGTTTTGAGCTGGGTTGTCGAATAGATACTAAACCATGCAGGCAAACCGTTCATCGCCGTGACCTTGAACTATCGCCTCTCCGCCTGGGGCTTCTTGAGCTCCAGTGAAGTCGCCAGTAGCGGAAACACCAACCTCGGTCTCCGGGATCAGAGACTGGCGCTACAATGGATCAAAGAAAATATCCGGGCCTTCGGTGGCGATCCAGAGAAAGTCACAATCTGGGGAGAGTCTGCAGGGGCAATGTCCGTTGGCGCCCATCTCATCGCATACGGTGGCAGAGATGATGGTCTCTTTCGCGGAGCGATTATGGAATCGGGCGGATCCATAACAGCCAGTCCAATGAATGACACCGGCTACCAGGCGATGTACGATGAAGTGGTGGCGAAAGTCGGTTGCTCCAATGCCACCAATACGCTGCAATGTCTGCGCGAGGTTCCATTTAAGGAATTGAATGCCGTTTTCAACGGCACTGGCGGCAACCCAGCGTACTCTTTCTGGCCTGTCGCTGACCAGGATCTCGTGAGGGGCCGGGGAAGCGTCCAGCTGGACCAACATGAATTCATCAAAGTGCCCATCCTCGCAGGCACGAATACAGACGAAGGGGCTAGTTTTGGTCCCACGGGGATCAATACCACGAAGCAGTTTTATGCATACCTCACCGGTTAGTATTATGAATTACTTTTTCTCGCCTCTTTTCCTTGGGCACATATGTACTAAAGAACGTCCACATTACTAGACGGAACATCCGGCTTCAAACTCCCGTCGTCTACAGCAAACCAGATCCTCGATCTCTACCCGGACGACCCATCACAGGGAATCCCGGAGTTCCTCGGCGACCAGCGGGTACCCTCGAAGGGCTACCAGTGGCGCCGTACATCGGCCTACGCAGGGGACTACTCGATGCACGCGAACCGACGACGACAATGTGAAGCCTGGACAGAAACCACAACCCCCGCCTACTGCTACCGATTCAATATGCGAGGGGCGGACGTTCCATATCTGTCCGGTGCCGCGCACTTTGAGGAAGTCGCCTTTGTGTTCAACAACATCGAGGGGCTTGGGTATCATTACGGGAAGCCGTTCGCAGGGATGCCCGAGTCGTACAGCCAGCTGAGCACACTGATGGCGAGCATGTGGGCGTCGTTCATCCACGATTTGGACCCGAATTCGGGCATTAAGGACGGGGAGGTTCGCTGGCAGGCGTATGGGGCGGACCAGCCGGTCGATCTGGTCTTCGATGCGAATGCCACGAGCTATATGGAGCTGGACACGTGGCGGAAGGAGGGGATCGATTATATCAATTCGATAGCAGGGACATATTGGCGGTAGTATAGCTGAATGGGTGGTCCTGGCTTGTCCATTCCCAGATTGCACACTCCCCAATCCAAGTGAAAGTGAAGTCATGACAAGATCTCTTCGAAAAAACAATTCGCCAAATCGGGTAAGGCTAGTGCTCCTAACAAGCCACAACCACAAGCCCCAGCACGACCTACGAACATAACCTTCTTCATGCCATTTCATTTCCAGAAATAACCACAGCGGAAAGAACAAAAATAACCCCCCAAAAACATGAGTAAAATTACATTAAATTAAATTAAGCCAAAACTATAATTCCCAGAGATAGAAGAGAAGAAGAAAAAAAGAACCCAAAAAAGAAGCAGCCAAATACCGAACCAGCCAATTCCCGGACGCACTGTCCAAAAATAGCACAGTTTTTAAATTAAGCAATTAAACCAAGTGCGCGTGATTATAAATGCTTACAAGCACAAGGAAATCGACCAAACAGCCCCATACGGGCTACGGGATAACGCCCCCCATTCCTGTCAAAGTGCTGCAAAGCCCCAGTCCCCAAAATCAATAGTCTGCAACGTTCAAGTGGGCGACTGGAGTCGCCTGTCATGGCATGTCCCGAGGACAGGTTGGAAAGCGGGTATTTAGGCAGAATTTCCTCGGTAGCGAATGAGACCTGTGATTATGGGGATTGCGTTAGGATCTTCATTCAAGTCTACGTTCTCTTCTCGATTTGGGGGAACGGGGCAAAGAAAGAAATCCATGTTTTGTTATCTTTCTTGGTAATTTTACTTTGAAATTTTGCACCAAAAAACTCAACCCACCAAAAAGCAATCCGGAGTTACAAGTAAACCAATACCTAGCCACGCGTAGATTCAGATCCGAACCCCCGGGACTATTCCCGTGCAGAAAAGAAAGCCATTATCAAAGAACAACCCGCTCAACCATGGTACGAGCCACGGAAAGCACGTCTTCTAGAACGTCACAAGTCCCTTAACACGGAAATGACAAGCGAGTTCCAATGTCTTGATTTCCC